CCCCCAGCCGCAGTAGGAAATGACGACAACATTAATGACGTCTTTACCCTCTTGCAGCACTGCCACAGCGTGCTACGATGATTTTTGGAACGGTGTTGACAGTACTGCCAGCGCTGACAAACAATTTTGGAACACAGCCCTTGTATGTGTCATGGGCTTGATTGGTCAATTCACTTACTGCTTGCGTGTTACGGCCTTACGTTCTTGTATGTGTCATGGGCTTTAAGCCCATACAGCAGAGATCGTAAGGCCAGTAGCGAATCCAATGTAAGGCATCGTCTACAATACACGGAGTAAGAAATAAGAGTAAGAAATTGACCAATCACAGTCGATTATTGTTCTCACATTCGACTGTGATTGGTCAATTTTTACTCTTACTTCTTACTCCGTGTATTGTAGACAACGCCTTAAAGTCAAAGTAACATTGGGTGCTTTCCATTTGATGATACAAGTCGACACAAATCGACACAAGTGTTATTCTATTTTTGTCACTCTCTGAATGTCAACAAGGATAAAACGACGCTTGTGCCGACTTGTCTCGACTTGTGTCATCAAATGGAAAGCACCCATTGGTGCAACCGGGTTTAAGAGTAAGAAATTAATAATACAGTACTAATTTCATGATTTATTAGGGGCTCCGTACAATAAAAAGAACAGGGAACAGAGAACAGAAAATAAGAATTTCAATTTATCAGAAATCATGTATTGTGGAATACACACTGGGTGCATTCAGTACTACAACCGCTCACTGAGCGCTCAGTGAGCTCTTGCATTTAATTGACCATCTTTGTGCGCGGACCCTTACGTTTTTCTATATGCTCCCGGCTTTATCTTGGGGTCGATTCTGTAATTCAAGTGAGATCACTCACTTTTCGCATTTTCATCTCACGTGAGTTTGTTCGCGCGATTCTATAACGTCAAGGTGAAAATACGAAATCACCAGAGTTGCCGTGTAGGGGAAAACGAGATGATTTACATTTTCACCATAGTGTTTTCTCGAAGACGTTTGACCAGGGTTGGGCATGTATTATACACGAGGTTTCTTACATAGTATTATACATGGTATTATACAAGTATAATACATCATTTAGTTTTATATGTATTATACTTCATGTGGCGCCATCTCTACATTATATGCGTAATTTAATACTTTCTATCAATTTCTACATTATCCACGCTAAAAATCGATCGAAAATTCGCTAACAAACAAAGAACCAAGAGCTGAGCGTTGTAAGTGTCTTGAGAGGTCGCTCGTGCGATTCGAACATGTTCTATCTCGAGCGTTACATCCTCGATTTATATTTTTGAATTACGTTATTATTAGCTAAGCGTCCAGTGTTTAGGGGGTCTGCATCATTTTCGCTTTTGTTGCATCCTTTTTATACCTGCCCGATTTCTAGGTGGTCGGTGCCTTGCATATTTCGATTTTATTCATAATACCACAGACCTCGGTAGTCTAGTCTCAACGTCTCTAACTCTTGGTGGAAAAGTCTATAATTCTATAGTAAAAAAATGTGCGTGCACGGCGCAGCAACAACAAAAATCGATAACGGAGTCGTTCTGGAATTCTGGACACTCGTACAGTTTCGTAGACGTATAAATTAGAGTTTTATACGTTTTATACAGTTTTTTTTACGTATAATATCGTATAATACAGTATAATACAGTATAATGTAAAAAACCCTAGAAAATCCTTCGAAAACCCAACCCTGCGTTTGACCGAAGACAGATGTGATTTTATCTTTAAGTACTGTAATATTACTGTATCCGTCTGTAAATTCCGTCATGAACGTAACTGAGAAACAGAAACAAATATTAATAAATTTTATGCGGGCTAATCCTGATTTCGGGAGAGGGCAATTAAGATATAACCGTGAAAATAAAAAACAAATTGTAAGTTTTGAGTTAATTTTATTATTTCATGAAATTTTAATTTTACAAATATTAATTATATAATTGATGAGATATTAAATTGTAAATAAAAATTACACAAATAACTATAATATATATATATTATATAGGAGAAATTATGGGAGAAAGTAACGTCTGCCTTAAATTCTGCAGGCTGTGGTCCGCAAAAGCAATCAAAGGAATGGGCAAAGGTAAAGTTACATCAATGATAATTTTTTCTTTAACAAAACTATTTCCGAGCTGTGAGACCGTAATTTAAAGGAATTCCTTCTTCATTCAGATATTTTATCTGCAATTGTGACGAACGTCTTCAGTGGCAAAAGGAACGTGGTTGAAGTTTCCTTCTCTGTGTCTCAGTTTTGATCAACGTCCGTCTCATAGTCCGGAAATAGTTTCTCCTAATTATGATGCCGGTCGTGAAAGCCTTTACAGTCATTAATTCTTTCTTTATTACAGACATGGCGTGATTGGAAGTCCAACTTACTAAGAAGAGTAGCCACATACAAAAGTTATGCAGCAAGAACTGGAGGAGGACAACCAATAATTTTGAATACAAGCCCAGCTGAAGATGACTTACTTGAATTTTTAACATCCGAGGCCAGTGGAATGTCTAATATTCCCGAAGGAGGTGCTATTAGCGATGTATCTATTACTGATCTGACCATTGAAAGAGTTTTGACACCGCAGAAATGGCAGAATCCTTCTACTTCGTATCTACCGATTTGTACTGATTTGACTGCTGAAAGAGTTTCGTCGCAAAAACTGGAAAATCCTTCTACTTTGCAAATCACGAATTTTTCGATCTCTCCAAATTTGCATACTGAGAAGAGTATCAGACAGGCGACTTCGTGCTTCCAAGGACTTGAAGTAATTGTTGTCTTATTATACTTTAAAATTTTAATAATTATTTATTCATGTTCTATTAAAATTTTCAGGAACATTCCTTCCACAGCAACGTAACAAACAATGATACAGAGAATTTTCCAATAAGTGTAAGTGATATATAATTTCTTTTGCATGATGTATTTATTTTTTTCAACATAATATATATTTATAATAAAGATACTTTTCATTTCAGATATCCTCTAATGTACTTCGTTCAATAGAAAATGAACAAGAACAGATTCCAAAACAAGTACATTGCATCAAGTCTGGTTCAATCTCAATCAAAAGTATCAAGAGACATTCTGATGATGCAGGTAATTAAAACGTTTTCTCTCTTGTGTTATATTTACAATATTTAATTTTATTTTATCTGATCTTTCTGTTATTAATAGAAACTAATCATAATATTATTGAACTAATTTCTTTAGATACCTCTAACAAAAAAATAAAGAAGCAAAACGTAGAACATACCACAGACTACTGCAATCTTCAGGAACAAATATTGCAATTAAAACAGGAAAAGTTAGCCATACTAAAAGAAAGGTTGCAATTGAAAAAAAAAGATCACGAAGATTATATCAGGTTTTTTAAATCATTTCTTGAAAAGATGGATGAACTAATGAACATTGTTCGATCAATCGGTCCGCAATATTTGGAAGACTGAAGAGAAAGAGTTGTCTTTTTATTATAAACATTATTTACATAAGTTCGCAATATTTAGAAGACTGAAAAGGAAGTTATTTTTTTTTATAAACATTATTTGTGTGCAAAGTGACCTTAAAGACTGAAAAGAAAGTTGTGAGGAATTTAGTTTAGAAAAAAGTATATATGTTTTATTATAAACATTGTTGACGTATTATTAACATAAACATGTTATACTTTATGAACATATTTTATTAAAAATATATTTGATTAAAAATTCATTTTCTCAAAATATTTTTCCTCACAATAGCATTTACAAATATTTTTTTTAATTGATCTGTGCAAACACATATGTTCAACAGACAAAGCAATAATTCTTTATTATAATTAGTTTTTACTTAAATTGAGAGAATTAATGAAAGAATCAATCATATTAAAAATTCACTGAGCGCTTACTTATCTGCTTAGTCTGTTGAACATAGCTATTTTCAAAATACAATTAAAAACTCATGTAAAAAATTGTTAAATCTTAAAAGTTGAGTCAATTTGTGAAATACCATTGGATCACACGATTTCGGGTTTGTTCTCCACGTTCTTCGTTAATATCATGATATGGTATCGGTGGTGCTATATCTAATTCATCCAGATGTATTTCATCACAAGGAATCCCCCATTTGATCGCCATATTATGCAGAACGCAACAAGCATTGACAATAAGAGCTGTATGATGAAAATACCATATTTCATTGACACTTATGTATTGCAAGAAATAGTGAAATAATTAAGTAGTAACTTTAAGTGTGTTCGATTTGTTGGTAAGTGATCTAAAAAAAAAGTCTCCGATTGCAAAGATTTAAAAGAAATGAAAGAGTATATAAACCTGCGAATTGTGGACGATAATGTAAAGCTCGTTCCTTCCGTAAACAACGCCAGCGACCTTTTAAAATGCCGAAACAACGCTCGATAGCCACACGAGTCCGAACATGATGATCTGCGTATCTTGCACCTGGAGTTCCTTCTTCTTCATTTAATTTTGGCGTCAATAGAAAAGGTAGAAGGGGGTATGCAGAATCACCTAAATGTACAATATTAGTTTTAACACTGCCAATTTTTTTATTAAATCCATGCAAAATTAAAACAGAAAATTATAAATATAAAGGAATTAAAGTTCAGAAATTATGGATATGTAGAGTCCTATGTATCAATATTACTACATATATCTGTACGTAAATACGTAAGTAATTCTTTACCTAGAAGCCAGCAATTATCTATTTCACCCTGTCTGTGTCTCTGTTCTAAATGAGCAAAGAGTCTCGACGACCGTAATACTCGAGCATCATGTGTTCGGCCACCATGGGCACTATTTACAGCGAGAATTTCGCAGTTGGAATCACAAATCTGAAATCACATGTATTTAATAATTTATTATTATTCCAATCAACATAGCATCAGTTACGTCTAAGTTAAAATCTCCACTGAACAATATAAGTTTTAACATACCTAAATTTAATGTAACTGATGCTGCGTTTTAACTGTATACATATATATATATATATATATA